GTTTTTGTTCCTTTTATATTCACTTGGTTAATTCAGTACTCACCAAAATACAATTATCTGCATTTCTTATAGTATGTTGATTGATTGCGTCATCTGCAAAAAGCAATTTTTTCTTTCATTTCAGGAAAAAATAGCTAATCATTTATGTGCAGTAAAAAAACATTCGCTTCTTTTACTGAATGAGTTGTGAATGAGTTACTTAACAATAAAACTCTATAAATTTTATTAAAAAGCTATTCTATTGATAAACATTGCAGCTAAAATTTATAACTGTTCAGCTAATTGCTATAGCTATATTGACCAAAATTGGTTGCTATTCATTAAGCCTTGTTAGGATTTTCCGTTATGGAGATTTTTATGCGCAATTTGACATACTTAAGAATGAATAGATAAAACATAATATTTTTGTTTTGACGTTTAATTCAGCAGATAAAAAATGAGAAATTGAGTGGAAAGTTCATGCATTCTTGCACTGACTCAAACAGTACTGGATTGACTCATGAAAGTAAAAATGAGCGATAAAAATTGTTTAAAAAGATTTCAAAAAGATTAAAATTGGCGTTCAAAATGATTGAAATTGGTTGAACATGCATGAAAACAAACCTGTAAAAAGTCAACAACAAATTTCCACCCAGAATTGTTTCAATTTTTTTTCCAAATTTTTAGTTTGAGATCAAATTAAATTGAATTGAAGTCAGTTTAAATCATTATTTAAACAGCAAGTTTTTGAAGCTGCAGAAAAAAAAATTGGAGAGTCAATGGGAGCTTATAAGAATATGAAAAGCGCGCTCCAAAACAGACAAGAATATAGAGAATGTGTAAAGAAGGTATCGAAGCTCTGAAAAATTTGTTCAGCCGCGAATTTAAAAACTATTGATATACCCTAGCCGATTTGCATAGAAGTATGTGAAACTAATCAAAAAGCCCCGAAGTTTTAAAACGAAATGATATTTTTAGTTGACTCTGATTATTTTTATTTTGTATAATTGAAATTGTATAATATTTGGGACTGATAATCGTAGTCTTAGTAAGAAAACAACTGTTCGTTAATTATGATAGAAATGGGAACATTTTTTATTTTACTATAAATGGTTCAAATTTTTTTTTAGTAGAAACGCTACTGGTTTTGCGTTTGAATACTCTTGAATACTCACCAGAAGAATCAACTTTGATATTTGAGATGTATCAATTGCCAGGTGGATTTTTTGGATAAATTCAAAATCCGTCCTCCTTGAGCGTTTTAGGCAAGATGATCTTTATCTGGTTCTATCTTTTAAATTTCAGCCAATCAGAATTGATTATTTTATTTGCAGTGCTAACCAATTTGAAACTAGATTGAAAAATCGTCTGGATCAATTTGAAAAATTGATCAATTTTTTCATTGCGCAATTTAGGTAACTTTATAAAACGTTTGGTAAGGTTCAAGCTCAATATGATGCTGAAACTATTTTATGCGGTGTTAAGAAAAATTGGCAAAATACTATCTCTATTTAGATTAAAATTTAGCGATAATTGATATGCTTGTGTTACTTTTTTAGGTCATTGAACTTCCTAAAACGTGTGTTGAACAAATGAGATGACTAGTATTCCTACTTAAGTTATCCATCTAAGCCTCTATCCCTGTAGAACATACTTAAGCCTCCAAAGTTTTATTTGCAAATTTGTTATTATGAAACTTTCATGAGCACCGGTGTTTTTATCAGTAGTTTGATAGGATGCAAACAAAAAAAAAACAAAAAATAAAAAGCAAAAATGTATTAAAGCTCTTAAATTTTTTTATTTCTCAGCAAAACTTTAAAAGATAGCTCATACTTGTAAACACTTTGATTATTTCATACATTTCATTTTTATACTACACTTTTTTGCGTTTTATTTCATCTGGTTACCTTTTTTGAAAAAATAACTTGATTTTTTTTTAAAATTTTATTTTTTGACTTTTAATTGCAATGTGGATACAGTCTTGAGTTAAATTAGCCGGACAAAACGACCAAAAAAATTTGTAAACGCGTTTTTATCAAATTGGTTTCCGTTAGAAAAAACTGACGTTGGCAAAGTTTTCATAGTTCTGGCTTGTTTTTGTGAAATTAAAATGACACTTAACAACTGGCTTAATTACTGATCAAGTTTAACTATCGGTCTAATTGTTGAGCAGCAAAAAGCATAAAACATTTTTTAAAATTCAATGTTTAAACTTGATATTTTTAAAGTAAAAATGATATTTTCGGCTATCACATATCAATATAAACAGTTATGCAAAATTTAGCAGATTAAATCTTTCTTGGACTCTGCTAGGTGGCACAAGACACTTGATATAAATTGCTGAGTAATTGAGCCCTTGAAGGATTCCACCGTGGATTCGAATCCATGCTCCAAATGTCAAATTCTGACATATGGAAGTTCAGTGAGGCAATTCAGAGGCAGCAATCACTGCAATCTTTCAGTTTTGCTCAAATGCAGCTCGGCAAGAAAGTTCATACAAGGAAAGAGGATAATTTTGGGAGGATAAAGAGAATTGTATGCTCTGCCGCTAACTACAAAGAGTTGGATTATCTTAAAGCCATAGCTGTTAACTTGTCTTTTTAGTTTTTAGTCTCTAGTCTATCTACTTCTTTTCTGTTAATTATCTTTCATGTTTTAATTCAAGTTTTAGTGTCGCTGTTTTGTTGATTTCGAATGTGGGGGATTTTAAACTAGAAACTGGGGGATTTTGTCTTAGGGGGATTTGGTCCTACGGGGGATTTAGTCCTGGAGAATTATATCCGGTGGGTTTTTATCCTGGGGGATTTAGTCCTAGACCGCGTCCCGGGGGATTCCGCGTCCCGGGGGATTCCGCGTCCCGGGTTGAATAAAAAGTTTTATCACAAAATTTTCTTTAAAAAGATCCTTTTCTACAATGTCTACAAAATTATACGTACAAGTACTTGAGTACAAGCATTTTTTATAGGAGAAAAGTGTATGATACACAGTTTTGTAAACTTTATATTAGTTTACTAGCATTTTTCAAAAATAAAAAATCAAAGAACTATTTGACTCTTATTTGCAACTTTGAGTTTTGTCTGCAAAACTGAGGTTTTTCTGACACAAAGAAACCCAGGGCTTAAGTGAAAATTTTCACATAGATAATTTTCATTCGTTGAAAATGTTTTTTAAAACATCAGAAGCCTTTGAAACAGTCAAATAGACAAAAATAGCCAAACAGAACCTAATTTGAAGTGAAATTTTGTGTCTAAATATCTCAACAAATTTCACCATCTAAGTGCTGTTATAAATTTATAAACTTTTTATTCTCACCTTTTTAAAATCTTATGACAAACTCAGTTTGAAAAATTTGTGTGAAAAGGTTTCGCAGAACTTGTTCTACAAATTTTTTATAGATTTTACGCAGGCGTCGACCTTTTTCTTTAGGTCGACCCTTTTTTGACGACCCTTTTTTAGGTCGACCAAATTGATTTTCTGAGCCCTTCCAAACCACTATAAGGACCCTAATTTGTCCAAATTTTCTGCGTCGCAGGCAGTTTTTTGAAAAAAAGGCCAAAAAAGGCGTTTTTAGGCACTTAATGGAAAATGTCGACCAATAAATCGCGTTTTTTCGGCGCGCGCTCCCCCTCAAATTTAGTATAGATTGGCGCTAAGGGCGCCTTTGGAAAAATTTTAAGGTAAGTCAGCCAAAAATGGATATCTCAAAATAGTACAAAATGGGGAACCCTTTGGGTCAGCAGGGGGTCGAATCCCTGAGGGGAAGAGGCGTCTCCCCTAAATCCGCAACTGGATTTACGATTAATTTCAACGGCTGCAGCTGAAATTCAATGAACCTAATGATTCTAAAATCAACTAAAAGCGTGTGAAAAGTCATTCAACATATTTCAATATTTGTTCCTTCAAATATTTTCAAGATATCTTGCTTCAGAGGCTAGTGGCAGTTCAGATGTTTTTTTTGCGGAATTTTTGTTTGGTGGCTTTTTTTCGGATCATTTTTAAAAGAATTTTGACTACATGGATGGATCGATCCGGTAACTTTTGGAATGCCAATCGAATGTGCCGCTACTAGCCCACATTATTTTGTACAGTCCTCGAATCATATTTGATTGTTTCAATACCCAATTTAATTATCTGTGACGGTTTATCTCGCGCTCATTTAAATTTCCAATTTGAATTGAGGCAAACTTCTTGATCATTTTAAGACGATAAAAATAATATGACTTTATCTTTTATATGTCGCATTCAAAAATATGAAGTTTCTCAAAGTTTGATTTGAAAACTAATCGAGACTATTTGAGGAGCATTCGGAGCTTTCGGGGCGTCAACCTGGTATACGAGCAGACTTATTCAGTACTATCATCGCGTTGAGATTAAATGAAATTTGTTTAACTTGAAAGTTTTGGTTCAATTTTAATGTCAGGAATTAAACCCGTTGAAATTAAAAGTAAGTTTTTTGAAATTTACAATAAAAAATATTGAAAGTAAATGGGAAAATCTATAGTAATTAATGCAACGCTACAGAAAAGTAAACTGTTCTTAAAACACAATTTTTAAAAGACATTTTGTCTTTTATGAGACTACAAAAACGATATTAAACTATCATATGTATAACCCGGGCTGAGGTGTTCGACTCATGATTCGACCGACACGGTCGAAAGATGTCCAACTTTCGTCGCAAATTAAGACGGTCGAACGAAGGCTATAGTCAAACAAAGTCGAATCATGGGTCGAACAGGGTCGAATCATGAGTCGAACAGGGTCGAATCATGAGTCGAACAAGGTCGAATCATGAGTCGAACAGGGTCGAATCATGAGTCGAACAGGGTCGAATCATGAGTCGAACAGGGTCGAATCATGAGTCGAACAGGGTCGAATCATGAGTCGAACAAGGTCGAATCATGAGTCGAGCACCTCAGCCCGGGAACAAGACCGCCAACGTCTCTTGTTTCACACCAGTGTTTGAGACAGTGTCATAGCGGCTTTAAACATGCTAACTTGACGATGGACTTGATGATGTTTAGATGAGCAAGATGTTTCTGGTGGTGTTGGTCTCCTTTGTCCTGCTCATGTCCCCCCACCGCTGGCTTATGTTTGTTTCCGGCATCCAGTACAAACTGTCGGGGGGAAGGGGGACTAAGGGGTGGTCCTTGTTCTACCAGGATGCCATGATCGGAATTTTCTCTCTCCTTTACCTCTGCAACAGTATCGTGGATCCCCTCGTGTATAATATCATGGCCAAAAGATTCAGGTAACTAGAGACATAATTCTACCTACACTAAAAATGCAGGGGAAAAATTTCTCAAAAAATCCTCAAAAACAAATTTTTCCAAGTATCGTCATTCTGGAGTTCCGCAGCCAGTTTTAAGTGGAATTGATTAAACTTGGGTTAATTAGTTTGACCATTTAGTTTGCCTCCAATCACTTTTGAATAACTTTGAGCGCTGAATAAATTGCCACGCTGAAATTATTCGTGCTTACGCTTTCATCATCATACAGTGCTGGTTTAAATTATCAGAAAGCGTACAACACTGGAAAATTTAAACGCGTTTTTCTCAAATTGGGTCAAGACAAGTCGAGAAATGAAGAAAACAAGAGTTGCTCAGAATTTTACCAGACCTTTTGGTGCAATTTATTTTGCGAAATTACCCGAAACCAAACTTCTGCTGCCTTTGCGTGAGATTCGGAGCCAAACTTATGGTGCCTTTTTTGTGAAATTCGGAACCAAAATTTAACCTAAAACGAGTCAATTTGATTTTTCTTGTTTGATCAACAACTACGCAAAAACTACCACATTAACAGAGGGAAAGTTTTATCAAAAAAGGCCGTTTACTCGGCTCCACAATATTTTAATAAGTAAAATGTATAAAATTTATAAATTTTATCTTTGAACAAAGATTTTGATTTTTTCATAGTAAGAACGACATTTTTTAGAGTTCAAGTTTTGAAGATTTTACACTTCTAGAAGACTTTTGTACTGTGCAAGAGGCTTGTTTTCATTCAATTTTCTCATCAATTAATTCATTGGCTTAAGTTTCAAATTCATTGGCTCAAAAACTAAATAAGCCAAATTGACCTTATTTTTGGGTGTAAAATTTTTTTTCCCAGAATGTCCGACCAAATTGCACCATAAAATTTCTTGGTAAAATTCTAAGCAATTTTTGGTCGCTTCATTTTTTATCTTAACCCAATTTGAGAAAAAATTAATCAAAATTTCAAAATTGGTTCTATTGTCCGAAGAATTTTTTTCAGCATTGTATTAGATAATTTTTTTAGGGCAAAGATTGCTTGCCACCCCTAAAAAACTAATTAAACAGTTTATTACAAAATTCATATGTGCATAACCTTTTAATTAGTTCTTTATAGGGAAGAAAATTTAACATTAGATACTGAAATGGGAAACAATTGAGGAGATCCGAAAAAAATAAACAATTGAAAGTGGAAACATGATTGCTTGCCTTTTGACCCCATCGTCACATTTTGAATAGATGAAGTATGGTGTATAATTTTTCATTCAAACTTTCTAGGAACGCAAAGGAATAGTTAAGATTGATTCATGTTCTTTATTCAGACCAATTACGATTTTCAGCACATTTACGATTCTTGAGCAAACTCTTCATATCAGCAGTTTGATTTTAACGCTTTCAGTTCAAACGTTTTCTTTATGACTATGCTTGATTGAAATCTGAAATTTTGAGAATTACAACTTTGAACAATTTGGGATTTTAAAAAAGGGCGTTTTTCCTCTTTCTTAACAATCTTAAAAGTCAAGTAAAATGATAAAAATGGTGTAAACTAGCAAACTTTTTTGATTAGTTAGCTTACGTCATATCAATTTGAAATAATATCCGAGTCTGTTTAACCCGTTGCTCTGTACCCAATACGCATTGAAAAAATAATAATTGGAACTTTTGAGCGAAATAATTATACCATAAATTTTCAAACCAGAGAAGCTCAAAACAAACTGTTAGACGACATATTTTAGACGACATTCTTCTAAACGTTTAGCTCAGGGCATTAATTGACTCTAGACTGTAAAGAAAAAACTCATTGAAATTTTTAGCTTAGAAACCATTTGCAGTAAAACCATCCCAAGTACAATTTTTTGCAGCAAAAATCACCTCAACCTACAAACGCGAACTTTTCTGTTAGCACAAAAAAATTATCCCAAGATTAAGTTTTTCAAAATTATCTATGAAATTTCAAAAATACACACAAGGGATAAACGGTTACAGAATATCACTGAAAATGCCGACATTTATTTTTTAAAAAAATTTTAAAACTACGGTGTTTTTTTTCAAAATGTATCTTTTTTTAAAAAGAATCTGAACTTGATGAAAATGCATATTGGATAGCAATAGCATATTAGGTTATTTCAGAAATTTATTACATTTTTTGATCTTTGATGTTCGCACTAAAAATGTAACCTTGAATGCATATTGGATGCTCATTGAAAATGCATATTGGAAAGCAATAGCAATTTAGGTTTATTCAAATAAATTTATTCGATTATTTTGATTTTTGGTGTTCGTTTATTTTTTATGGCATAACGGAAATTTAATCCTACTAGTATAAGCCTGTTATTTACCTGCTAGGTCACTTTTGAACCAATTATTCCGGATACAGATAAATTTAGGGAAACTTCTTTTGTCTTTTGAAACACGACTGAAAAAGCTTCAAGATGATTGGTCACTAGATCCGTTCCAAATATTCTCTATGCTATCAGATCATTTGTGGTACCTGAAGATTTCCAATACCTGATTTTGAGTGGGAAAAAAATAAGACACGCCCCAAGAAGTAACAACTTCAGTGATTCGAACAAAAATACTAGTTTTATGTTTTTCTGTTTTTATGCGTTAGTTTTTAGTCCTATATACTATAAACATAAAATTTCCAAAAAAAACTTGAAAATCACACATTAGAAACTATCCTAATCATCTTGGCGTGGATTCTGTTATCAATGACAATGATGAAAGTCAATCAAAATAACTTTTCAATTTCTTACATGGCACTGAAATACAAAAAGTACAGGACTGCTCGTATCAGGAGAAACCCACTCAGCAGTCTAACTATCGATTAACGTTTCCAAAGTAGCTTCTGGTCAAAAAATAAATAAAAATTTCAAAAAGCACATCTGCGCCTCACCGCAAGATTTAGTAGAAAGTGATAACTTTGGCGGCGCCTACTTACGCAAACATGCAATCATTTGGGTAGCTTCAGTTTAACTTGGAAT